AACAGTACTATACCTCATATCTCTCCAAAAATCTCCTCAGTAAGTTGATAAGTGTGGCAACCTCAGAGGAGCAGTACTATACCTCTGACGTCTCCCATTATCTCCTCAGTAACTTGATGATTGTGGCAAACTCTAGGAGCAGTACTTTACCTGTGACATCTTCCATTATCTCCTCAGTAAGTTGATCAGTGTGGGAACCCCAGAGGAACAGTACTATACCTCTGATGTCTCCCATTATCTCCTCAGTAAGTTGATAAGTGTGGCAACCTCAGAGGAGCAGTACTATACCTCTGACGTCTCCCATTATCTCCTTAGTAAGTTGATAAGTGTGGCAAACTCTAGGAGCAGTACTTTACCTGTGACATCTTCCATTATCTCCTCAGTAAGTTGATAAGTGTGGGAACCCCAGAGGAACAGTACTATACCTCTGATGTCTCCCATTATCTCCTCAGTAAGTTGATAAGTGTAACAACCCCTGAGGAACAGTATTATACCTCTGACGTCTCCCATTATCTCCTCAATAAGTTGATAAGTGTGTCAACCCAGAGGAGCAGTACCATACCTCTGACGTCTCCCATTATCTCCTTAGTAAGTTGATAAGTGTGACAACCCCAGAGGAGCAGTACTTTACCTCTGATGTCACCTATTATCTCCTCAGTAAGTTTATAAGTGTGGGAACCCTAGAAGAACAGTACTATACCTCTGACGTCTCCCATTATCTCCTCAGGAAGTTGATAAGTGTGTCAACCCAGAGGAGCAGTACTTTACCTCTGACGTCTCCCATTATCTCCTCAGTAAGCTGATAAGTGTGGGAACCCTAGTAGAACAGTACTATACCTCTGACGTCTCCCATTATCTCCTCAGGAAGTTGATAAGTGTGGCAACCCCAGAGGAGCAATACTATACCTCTGACGTCTCCCATTATCTCCTCAATAAGTTGATAAGTGTGTCAACCCAGAGGAGCAGTACCATACCTCTGATGTCTCCCATTATCTCCTCAGTAAGTTGATAGGTGTGACAACCCCAGAGGAGCAGTACCATACCTCAGACGTCTCCCATTATCTCCTTAGTAAGTTGATAAGTGTGTCAACCCAGAGGAGCAGTACCATACCTCTTATATCTCCCATTATCTCCTCAATAAGTTGATAAGTGTGGGAATCCTAGAAGAACAGTACTATACCTCTGACGTCTCCCATTATCTCCTCAGTAAGTTGATAAGTGTGACAACCCTTGAGGAACAGTACTATACCTCTGATGTCTCCCATTACCCTCGACGTAATAAGCGCCCAGGGTGCTCTCAAAATTAGAAATAGGGGGCTCTTATTAGAATATTATTTTGGTGAAAAAGACAGAGTTGAAAGAAAAATTTCTTGGTTTATGCTGACAGCCTGAAATGTTTATATAAGAGTGACAACCCCAGAGGAACAGTACTATACCTCTAACATCTCCCATTATGTCCTCAGTAACTTCATAAGTGTGACAACCCCAGAGGAACAGTACTATACCTCTGACATCTCCAGTTATATCCTCAGTAAGTTGATAAGTGTGGGAACCCCCGAGGAACAGTACTATACCTCTGACGTCTCCCATTATCTCCTCAGTAAGTTGATAAGTGTGTCAACCCAGAGGAGCAGTACCATACCTCTGATGTCTCCCATTATCTCCTTAGTAAGTTGATAAGTGTGGGAACCCTAGAAGAACAGTACTATACCTCTGACGTCTCCCATTATCTCCTCAGTAAGTTGATAAGTGTGTCAACCCAGAGGAGCAGTACCATACCTCTTATATCTCCCATTATCTCCTCAATAAGTTGATAAGTGTGGGAATCCTATAAGAACAGTACTATACCTCATACGTCTCCCATTATCTCCTCAGTAAGTTGATAAGTGTGACAACCCCTGAGGAACAGTACTATACCTCTGATGTCTCTCATTACCGTATTCGACGTAATAAGCGCCCAGGGCGCTCTCAAAATTAGAAATAGGGGGCTCTTATTAGAATATTATTTTGGTGAAAAAGACAGAGTTGAAAGAAAATTTTCTTGGTTTATGCTGACAGCCTGAAATGTTTATATACGAGAGATACATTTTTCCAGAATTTAAATGCCCATAATTAAGGGTGCATATAACACACTAGTACGTATTATACACGAATAAATAAGTGTTGTGTACATTGATCAATCGGAAGGGGTGTTAATTGGTATTGTTCACTAGCCAATATATTAGCAAATATCGCCGTGGGCGCTTATTAGAGCAGGGCGCTTATTACGTCGAATATGGTATCTCCTCAATAAGTTGATAAGTGTGGGAATCCTAGAAGAACAGTACTTTACCTCTGACATCTCCCATTATCTCCTCAGTAAGTTGATAAGTGTAACAACCCCTGAGGAACAGTACTATACCTCTGACGTCTCCCATTATCTCCTCAGTAACTTGATAAGTGTGGCAAACTCGAGGAACAGTACTGTACCTCATACGTCTCCCATTATCTCCTCAGTAAGTTGATAAGTGTGGCAAACTCGAGGAACAGTACTATACCTCTGACATCTCCAGTTATATCCTCAGTAAGTTGATAAGTGTGGGAACCCCCGAGGAACAGTACTATACCTCTGACGTCTCCCATTATCTCCTCAGTAAGTTGATAAGCGTAACAACCCCTGAGGAACAGTACTATACCTCTGACATCTCCCATTATCTCCTCAGTGAGATGATAAGTGTGGGAACCCTAGAAGAACAGTACCATACCTCTGACGTCTCCCATTATCTCCTTAGTAAGTTGATAAGTGTGACAACCCCAGAGGAACAGTACTTTACCTCTGATGTCACCCATTATCTCCTTAGTAAGTTGATAAGTGTGGGAACCCTAGTAGAACAGTACTATACCTCTGACGTCTCCCATTATCTCCTCAATAAGTTGATAAGTGTGTCAACCCAGAGGAGCAGTACCATACCTCTTATATCTCCCATTATCTCCTCAATAAGTTGATAAGTGTGACAACCCCTGAGGAACAGTACTATACCTCTGATGTCTCCCATTACCGTATTCGACGTAATAAGCGCCCAGGGCGCTCTCAAAATTAGAAATAGGGGGCTCTTATTAGAATATTATTTTGGTGAAAAAGACAGAGTTGAAAGAAAAATTTCTTGGTTTATGCTGACAGCCTGAAATGTTTATATAAGAGTGTCAACCCCAGAGGAACAGTACTATACCTCTAACATCTCCCATTATGTCCTCAGTAACTTCATAAGTGTTACAACCCCAGAGGAACAGTACTATACCTCTAACATCTCCCATTATCTCCTCAGTAAGTTGATAAGTGTAACAACCCCTGAGGAACAGTACTATACCTCTGATGTCTCCCATTATCTCCTCAGTAACTTGATAAGTGTGACAACCCCAGAGGAGCAGTACCATACCTCTGACGTCTCCCATTATCTCCTCAGTAACTTGATAAGTGTGGCAAACTCGAGGAACAGTACTTTACCTCTGACGTCTCCCATTATCTCCTCAGTAACTTGATAAGTGTGGCAAACTCGAGGAACAGTACTATACCTCTGACATCTCCAGTTATATCCTCAGTAAGTTGATAAGTGTGGGAACCCCCGAGGAACAGTACTATACCTCTGACGTCTCCCATTATCTCCTCAGTAAGTTGATAAGCGTAACAACCCCTGAGGAACAGTACTATACCTCTGACATCTCCCATTATCTCCTCAGTAAGTTGATAAGTGTGGGAACCCTAGAAGAACAGTACTGTACCTCTGACATCTCCCATTATCTCCTCAGTAAGTTGATAAGTGTGGAAACCCCAGAGGAGCAGTACCATACCTCTGACCTCTCCCATTATTTCCTCAGTAAGTTGATAAGTGTGGCAGACTCGAGGAACAGTACTATACCTCTGATGTCTCCCATTATCTCCTCAGTAAGTTCATAAGTGTGGGAACCCCAGGGGAGCAGTACCATACCTCTGACATCTCCCATTATCTCCTCAGTAAGTTGATAAGTGTGTCCACCCCCGAGGAACCGGACTATACCTCTGATAATACTGTGAGGCATCAGAAGAGATACTACCGTAATATGTTACTGTGAGGCATCAGAAGACACTATTTCCATATGTTACTGTGAGGCATCAGAAGACACACTACCCCCATATGTTACTGTGAGGCATCAGAAGACACACTACCCCCATATGTTACTGTGAGGCATCAGAAGACACACTACCCCATATGTTACTGTGAGGCATCAGAAGACACACTACCCCCATATGTTACTGTGAGGCATCAGAAGACACACTACCCCATATGTTACTGTGAGGCATCAGAAGACACACTACCCCCATATGTTACTGTGAGGAATCAGAAGACACACTACCCCCATGTGTTACTGTGAGGCATCAGAAGACACACTACCCGCATATGTTACTGTGAGGCATCAGAAGACACACTACCCCCATGTGTTACTGTGAGGCATCAGAAGACACACTACCCCCCTATGTTACTGTGAGGCATCAGAAGACACACTACCCCCATATGTTACTGTGAGGCATCAGAAGACACACTTCCCCCATATGTTACTGTGAGGCATCAGAAGACACACTACCCCATATGTTACTGTGAGGCATCAGAAGACACACTACCCCCATATGTTACTGTGAGGCATCAGAAGACACACTACCCCCATATATTACTGTGAGGCATCAGAAGACACACTTCCCCCATATGTTACTGTGAGGCATCAGAAGACAAACTACCCCCCCACCCCCCATATGTTACTGTGAGGCATCAGAAGACACACTTCCCCCATATGTTATTGTGAGGGATCAGAAGACACTATTCCCATATGTTACTTCGAGGCATCAGAAGACACTATTCCCATATGTTACTGTGAGGCATCAGAAGACACTATTCCAATGTGTTACTGTGAGGAATCAGGAGCCACCATTCTTTCCCCCATGTGCTACTCCAAGTGGTGAGTTGTAGCCATAATGTGTTGTGTTGCAGAGGTAGCTGCAGTAATCCCCCATGTGCTGTGTCCCCTCTGTATGCCAGCCACCTGCTCCTTGGTTTGCTACAGTGTGAGCATGGACAGTAACAGCACCAAAAAGGGCAGCACCTGCAGCAGCTGTGGTCATGACCTGGACACTGCTCACAGTATATTACAGCACTCAGGAATGGTGAGTTTGTTCCAGTGACTAAACTCAAAGAAGCAAACACTGAATCTTTTACCTGAAGGTTCATGTTCTTTTCCACTGTGGCCATGTTGAAAATGTCATCAACTATTTCTTTATATCTTTAAAATTTGGATGTGCAGTTACAATGTACCGGGTAGTGTGCACAAAACAAATGTTATGTTTTTTTGTTTACTTACGAAAATTTTTTACTGTGTTTTCAGTTGTAGAGCTAGGTTACCTGTAGATGAAACCACGCTGAAGTGAATTTGGAACTGAATGCACAGATTGCAAAATCAGAGTTGTTATTGTGATTTGATACCTCTGATCGACCAATCAGAAACGAGTAATTTCCAAATTCATGGTAGAATTGCTTTTTAACAATGCTGTGACCTCCAACTTTCACAAGCTCCGCTAAATCTGGTGATGAAGGAAGTCAATATCTCTAACAGCACATTTTTATTAAGCCGATTTTAAGCTCATCTGATCTGAAGGTTGATTTGAGCTTGTGTTTTGTTGCTTTGTCCACCATTAACATTTTCAGTTTAAGTAGGCATTATATATACACTATAACATTTTTTATCTCCAATGTGAAATTCAGCTATAAGTAAAACTCCTATTGAAACCTGGCTAAACAGATATGTATAATGAATAAAATGTACTAAAGTCCTCAAGGATACTGGAAAGGAGAAGCTGTGTTACGACCTTTAACTGTGCAGACTACCCGGGTAATATATACTCCACTTGAGATGATTCCTCTGAAACTACACTGCCTATGAAACTGGATAATCACAGCTATGGTGTCTCTAAAAACCTGATTCAATTTTGAACATTGCCCCCATGACAACAAAAAGACGATGTTTTTGGGTGAAGAAATAAAGATGTTGTTGATTTCAAGTCCCACTTTTATATGGACCATCGCTGCTGTCATGTGACCTTGATGACATGTAAGGTCACCTTATTCACATTACTGCCTGTTGCGCTACTGCAAGAACGTGTCCCAGCAGAGCTCTTCTAATTGAATTAATTGAGACCTTCGGTTTTTGGCTATAATTCTAAAATTGATTTGCGATGGATGATGTATTCCTTTCACCATGTTGTGGATTATTTAGGCGTAATAAGACTTGTGTCTTTTTTCACGCCTAGTTTTTGTTGTTGTCCGCCATTTTGAATTTGTGATACAATTGATTTCCTGCCAAGGTAGTCAAATTGTTTACAAATCTCAGCTACTTATGTATAACATATTCATGTGTGTTTAAGTACTAGTAGCTTTGTTGTTACATTGAGTTGTGTGAATCAATATTGTATACACTTTCAACTCGTGAAAACTTTTTTGCTGATAGAATATTGTTAAATTATTTGGCTCATTTCCAGTCCTGTTTCATCAACAATTCTTTAATTGTGTAACTTATGCTTGCGTGTTGTACTAATTGTCGTGGAAAAAAATCGTCCAAAGATCCTCATCCACGTTAAGCTTGCACGCAGATTTGCACGCCAAACTCTAAATGTAAATTTTGTTTAAAGCTCTCTCCAGCAATCCCATCGCATGGCGAGAAAGATGTCACAATCGCTCGATAGCAATGGACATGGTTCTGTCATTACCACGCAGCTGTTATCATCCTAATTTTCAGCCATCTAAGACATCCAACTCTGCTACATCTGCGAAACCGGCGCCAGCGTCTCATGACTCTCATATGGGAGTAGCTCAGGCGCAAGCCATGATCCAGTTAGCACCAATGAGCATTGTGTCTCAGGGACCTGCACCGAGCGCAGCAACTACCTACTACCCAAGCGCCTCTACAAAGACATCAGCCCCGGGCTTACAGCGTACAATGTTCAGCTTAGCGCTGTTCCAACAACTTATCCAAAGCAGCAGATGTAAGCTCAGGCGTCAACATTCCAGAACAGTAATTGGATGCAAAACTTCATGCAGTCCATGTGGCGGTAGCCTATGGCACACCTGTATCCTGCGCCCTCACCAATGCCTATGTATCAGACGCCTGTGTCAGTTACAACTATGGCACAAGGCTTAGCGCCTACTCCGGCAGCTAACGTCTACAGTATGCCTATTGTGAGTCATGGTACAGCACATTCATTGCTGGGCAGCGCTAGTACGCCTGCATGTACATGGACATCACTCATGAATCCCTATCACCAGGCGGATCATCCAAGCCCTCTGTCAGAGCAAGCGCTACGCATCAGTGCAGAAGACGATCGTCGTCTAGGCGAACACGTCAACACCGTTCTGATTGTTCAGACTCTTCAAATGGAGAAAATGGCAATTCCTCGTTAGAATGGAATACACATCTCGGCTTAGCACTTACCTGATCTCGTATCAGTGCTTTCACCTGGTAAGGGGGTGGATAAAAACGACACCATATGGTCGCATCTTACATCGATTCTAGCCGACCCTATGCTGACAGATATGACTAGATCATTGGATGAAGACTTCTCCAAGCTATCGCTTGCGCCGTCATTTACGCCACCCAAGTTTCCTATCCATGCATTTGCAGTAGCAGACCAAGCTCATAGTTTGGATGAGGACATACAGATGATGATAAACACATGTGATCAAGCAGGATCTATCAGAGGACTGCAAAGGCAACCCTGGTCATCCAATTCTCTGAACAGATCACAGACATGCACGCCAAAGTTTCCAGTTACGCTCGGGATGAGACAGTTACGCTTAAGGCTTTAGAGCATGTCTCTCATAGTCTATCCCAGCAAGCCGGCAAGTCAGGCAACTAGAGGCGAAGATGCTCATCTCTCAACGAAGGCCAGGACCAGGATTCCTTTCGTGGGAAAGGGCGTGGCAGCGGAAAAACTCAAGGTTCTTATCAGTCCCGTCGTAGTTAATACCAGGGCAGGGAGGTGATAAGAGGGGTAAACACTGAAGTGTTTGACAGTCACTACTGGGAACTCCCGCCCCCAGCCGTCCAAATTGTCGACACCCCCATAGGCAGGAGATTGAATCGGTTCTGGAAGAACTGGAGCATCCTCAAGGAGGATTACGTTCTCAACGTAATATGTCACGGTTATCATCTGGGCATAAATGTACTTCCACCGTTGACCACAGCTCCACTTCCTTGGTATTGTCCAAGAAAGCAATATCTGCTATTAAAGGCCAACATAGACATACTGTTGGTAAAGGGAGCTGTAGAGATTGTAAGCACCCCAGCTTACAATCTATTCTCACATCTTCCTGGCACCCAAGAAGGACTCAGACAAGATGATAATGATTCACAATCTCTGTGATCAATGAACGTTACCTGAAGCGTCTACCTTACTTCTGTCTCACTAAAGGCATAAAGGCGTTCAATTCCTTGATCAGTCTCAACATGCAGGATGCCTACCTGCATATACCGATCCATCCCTCCGACCCCTGTTCCATAGGTTCCAGTTCAATGGAGTTCACTACCAGTAAGCAGTGGCATTTCAGTGGCGCTGTGGCTATTTACACGAGTAATGAAGCCAATAACTGCGTATCTACACATAGACGACTGATTCCTGTGTCATCAATACACGAAGATGTTAGTACGCCACCGGGATTTCAACAGACGGCTACTGTATCAACTGGGATGGATGATCAACGAGGCAAAGTCGGATTTAACTCCATCGTATCGGCTCCAGTTCATAGGAGGCCTGTTCCAGACTGACCAGTATCTCCTATCAGTACTGAGGGACAGATGGCACAAAATCCTACGCCTCTTGTCACCTGCGCTACACCAAGCACGCACGCTTCGCCAATTGTGTTGCTAGGGTTACTCACCTCGGCACAGTACTTAACCAGCAGAGGCCGCTTACAACTGCACCCAATTTAACAATTCCTCAACCCTTACATCAGGCGTCAGGATCCAGGCTATCACTCTACCGTGGCAACTTACACCTTACCTCAAGTGGTGGACGGTAAAGTTGAATGACAGTCACTTAGGAATCTCTTTATCTGGGTTATCCCCGAGTCTACACCTGTTCTTAGACACCTCCCTTCAGGGGTTGGGTGCTCTCCTGCAAGGCCAGACAGCCTCAGGGCTATAGTCAGGCCCTCATCGAAAGTGGCACATACACAACTTTGAGTTGGAAGCGTTAATTCTGGCCATATCCCATTGGCAGAATCAGCTACAGTCCGACCAACTCGCAATATGTAGTGTGGTGCCTGCGCAATCAGGGAACAACGCACTCCCACTGCCTGCTTCAACAGACATTCAGGTTTTTCCATCTGATGGATCGTCTGGAACCTAAATTTAAAGTTCAGCACATCCCCAGATGTTGAAACATACTGGCTGATGCGTTATTGCATCCAGACAGGGTGGCTCCTACCGAATGGAAACTTCACACAGAAGCATTCCAGTTACTGCTTCAGAAGTTCTGTTTGCTACGTGCCAAAACCACCAACCACCAACCACCAACACATGACATCCGCAGGCTTTGGCGGTGGATGCTTTCAGCATCCCTTGGGAGGGGCTATAAGCGGACACTTTTCCGCCACCAGTTCTACTTCCCAAGGTGATACAAAATATCAAGGAGACAAGGAATCTTGCTCTGACTTTGGTCACGCCCTGGTGGCAGACGAGAGCATGGTACGTCGAGCTCAGAAGTATAGCAGAAGACGATCCACTACCCCTCCCACAGTGGTCCAACCTACTCATCCACCCTCAGAGCAAATTGCCTCACCCAATGCCAGGCAGATTTCATCTGCATGCTTAGTTCATCTTAAAAAGATGTTAAGTGCAAAGGGCTATTTGGCACGGGCAGCAAAAGCTTTAGCTGATCGTCCCTCTACCAGAGGACTATACGATGACAAATGGGGATGATTTGAGACTTTTTGCAAGGCAAAAAATCAAGACCCTACGTCTGTGTCACCACAATTCCTAGCTGAAAACCTCCTACATCTGCGTACCCATAGACACTTGAAAGGTAGCACCATTACCGCGTATTTGGGTGCATTTAATTCAGTGTTGGCCGTTCCGGAAAAATGCAAGATGACTAAGGTCCCAGAACTACAGGCC